TATGAGATTATAACATTATAACATGATATAAAACTCAAAAAAGTTGATTTTACATGATATTGCCCCTTTAAAATAGCACAACTCACCCAGGCAGAAACAAGTCGACAGACATTTAAAGTTTCTTTGATCCTAAATAATTGTAGCTTTGAGGCTTTTGAAAACTTTCACCTGGCTCGTCGTAGCCTGTAACATGAGGTCTGCAGCACCAGATAGTAGTTTATGTTGATCGCCTCAACACTGGGTAAATCCTCCAGAATAACAAGTCTTTATTTATTAAGATAATATGAATCATATCCTAAATGTACGCAGATTTTTTTGCAATATCTTGGCATTAGCGTACTCGCTGTGATCCATTTCTCTGTGTTTTGAACCACAGTAAATCATTTCCTGCCCCCATCTGACATTCACACATCATCCGGGTCATGTGACTGCAACCCAGCAATATAATAATCCCACACACTTATCAGCATAATAAAAGACTTAAAGTTCTTTTTTTTAAATTAAAGCACGTTTACTCGAGCTGCTTCCTGTCTAAAGCCAACAGACAGGAATTTGTTTCATTAGAATTAGCTTCAGAAAATGTTTTGGTTTTGATTAATTGACTCATCTTGATAAAACATGAAACATCTTTTCTGTGAGACGTTACAAGTCTGTTGATCTAAAGTTTGTTTTCTTACTTCTCCAGAGATGGGATTAGTCCCGTACTTCTTAATCCATGGAACGATGCTCCTGAAGCAGAGAGGAAAGCCCATTTCAGGTCCAAACAGACAAAAAGAAGGGTTTTAAACCAGTTCCAACAAAACCCAGTCAGAATGAAAAGTAGGAAACAAACAGAGCTGCTAATAATAACGAGTATTTGATCATTTGCATGAGAAACTCCAACCATCAGAGGGTTATTTTATGATTTACACAGTAGCTGTTGGTTAAAAAGAGCATTTATTTTAAAAATGATACTTAAATCATTAAATATTAAATATTCAACGTCTTCAGCACTTGTTGATTTGATTGAACTGATAACGAAGGACGGATCGAAGGAAAATTTGTGTTACTGTGAATATTGATTTAAAGAAAGCCTTGGACACAACTGACCACAGCATTCTCATCAGCTAATTAAACAACTGGTGTGAGAGGTTTGGCTTCACAATGGGTGTCAAGTTATTTGGCAAATAGAAAACAATTTGTACAAATAAATGAAGTACGTTCGGTTTTTGATGTAATTACTTGCGGTGTCCCACAGGGCTCTGTGCTTGGCCCTAAATTGTATCTTTTATATGTCAACGACCTGGTAAATGTGTCAAAGTTGTTCAGGTGTGTTTTAATTGCAGATGACACTACTTTCTTTTGTTCAGGTAATGATCTAAATCACGTGTTTACAACGATGCAATCTGACTTTGTAAAAATACAAGAATGGTTTACGTTAAATAAAGTATCACTTAATTTAGACAAAACCAACTATATATTTACGAAAAGGAAATTAAAAAAAGATGTTTCATTTAAAATTGGTGGCATTAGCATTCCTATGGTTAGTGAAGTGAGGTTTTTTGGTGGTTATTGTTGATGAAAATCTGACATGGAGACCCCGTATTAACTACTTAAGAACTAAAATTGCAAAATCAATTGCAGTATAGTATAAAGCAAAAGACATATTTAACAATAATGCATTACTTATTTTATATAATGCTATAGTTGTGCCACATTTGACCTATTGTGTTGAGGTCTGGGGGAGTGCGTGTAAAACATTTACAAATCCACTTTTTATTTTGTAAAAACGTGCAGTGAGAACCGTAACAAGAAAACACACTGTCACCCTTCAAATATTCTGTTTAAACAATTGGAACTGTTGAAATTTGGGGAATTGGTAGATTATAGGATATTGTTGATTATGTATAAGGCTCATAAAAATGTATTACCACCTAATATTCAATCCAACTTTGTTAAGAGGGATAGTGTTTATAATTTGAAGGGAATTGAAATGTTTGTAAAGCCAAAAATTAGAGGAAATTTGAAGGAGCGATGCACCTCTGTTCGAGGAATTAAACTGTGGAAAAACTTGGACAATGACCTTAAAAATGCTGGAACTATTTATTCGTTTGGTAAAAAGCTTAAAAGTTTTTTTAATGAGATATGAACAAAGTTTTGGTTGAAATTGAGATTTCTGTTGTGATGTTTTTTTTGTTGATTATTTTAAGCTATACTGTGAAAGTTGAGTTTAATTTCTGCGTGTATGTTTCATATATATATATA